GCAGTAGGTAAAAAATGACCTCACTGCAAAAAGGTTACTTTTGATTAAAATTTCACTCAACACTGTCTTCCTATGGAAGTCTCACACTGGTGGGTTTATTTTATCCACTTCAACCTACTGGACTAAGATCCGTCCATCTAGTTAGTATTTTTATTGTTCATCACAGGGAAAAAAAAACAATTAGAAGAATTTTATTAGTACAATTACTTTAGTCTTTGGCGCTCAGACCTCGGCAGGAAACATTAGCACTGAATTTAGTTTAATCTGCATGAACAGGAGTAAAGAACAGAGCTGTTTCCCCCCCAGGTCTGAAACTGGTGGTGGAGTGGAGATAGATGGAGTTGGTCAGTCTGTAGACTGCTGGTTGGAGAGATGGTCTGCTGAGCTTTATGGGGAGATCCAGAGGACTGAGTGAGCTGATACTAGAGCTGCACTTCCTGGAAGATGAAAGTCCTGCTGGATAACACAGGCTGAGAGAACCTGTCCATGATGAGCAAGCATGAAGCGACAGTGGAGAGGAAAAACTCCCCTTTGGGAAGAAACCTCTGGCAGAACCAGGCTCAACATGGCGGTCTGCTGCCGGACTGGTTAAGATGAAACAGGGAACGCAGTAAGAGTCCAGGAGGAATGACGCTCTGATGAAGCTTTAGCTACGATGGTGGAGGAGGGGCTGGAGGGGGGGTGGAAATGACGTCACAGGGCATCCACCGCCTGTTTACTAGGAGCAGACAGAGATGTGAATCGGAGGCCTTTTAAGATGAACTCTGGATGCTGATTGGCTTTCGTAGAGGCATGGTTCAAACCTGATCAGCTGGTGTCGGAGGCGAATGAAGGCGAATAATCAGTTTATTCAGTTGAACTTCCGCCTAGGCTCCATTTATCCCTAATGTGTGGTTATAATCAAGCAGAAATTTAAATAAATACCCTGGATGTTTTTTTCTTTTTTTTTTATTACACCGAGCATCACAACCATCCAAACATTATGGGTTTAGATCAAAATCACCAATTAACTAATTAATAGTTATTTGGTTAAAACAATAGGAAATACATCCTTTATTGGAAGAACTCGCATCCAACCAATAAGAAAAGGCCGAAGATGAAGAGATTTAACTCTCTAAAAGTAGCAATAGGGTATTTTCTATTCAATATGTTTAACAAACATTTTTTAAAAAGTATTTGGCAGAAAAGATGTTTG